TATATATGTATTTATGTTACCCATTACCCTGCGAAGCATATATGTATTTATATGCTTCGCAGGGTAATGGATTTTCTAACAGTGTCATTCCTCAATGATATATAGAATGTATTTCTTCCATTAAGTCTTTTTTGCCTGTTTCAGCCTCCTGGCCCGCCAGAAATTGCGGCCGGACCTCCTGGAGGACCTGGCAATTATCCACCTGGCTACGGTCCACCGGGTGGACCCGGGGGACCTAACGGACCTCCAGGCGCTCCCCCCGGAACATCGACGGGCCCTTATGGCCCACCTAGTGGCCTTCAAAGGCAGCCTCCGTACGGAGGCCCGCCGACTAGCGCTTCCGACGCACCCCCACCAGGCCAGCCCTATCCACCAAGACCTGGATACCCTCCGCCAGCAGGTTATCAACCCGGTTTTCCTAGTGGTCAGCAACCTGGTAACCCAAGCGTTCCTGGTGCAGTCGGTGCACCTGGTGGGCCGAGCGGTCCTGGCGGACCAGGAGGTCCAAGCGGCCCCGCCGGTCCTGGAGGTCCTGCTGGCCCTGGCAGTCTTACTACAACCGGTGGTACAGGTGGCCCACCAGGTGGACCTTATTCTGGTCACTACCCTGGCACTCAGCCCGGCCAGTATCCTCCACCACAAGGGGGTCCTCACAACGGACCTCCGCCAGTGTCGACCGCTGCCCCACCTGGACCACCTCAAGGTCCTCAGTCGGGGCCACCTGGTCCCCCGGCACCCCCTCATCTGCATTTTGGTCCTCAAGGCCCACAAGGCCCGTTGCCAGCGCAAGGTCCATCAACATCCGGTGGTCCTCCTCATCCGAGTCAACCTACGACTCCAAACGCACCACCAATAACGCTACCATCGGCAAGTCAAGCTGGACCACTTCCATCACAACCACCGGCACATGTGTCGCAACCAATACAGCCTCCAATGTCTGCGGCTCCTCCTATACCAACATCGGCGCCTCACCTTCAGACAGTCGCGCCTACACAAGTACTCTCTCAGCAACCAATTATGGCAGTTCCTTCTATTCAAACGCCTCCTACGTCGGCTCCGCAACCAGTTATTACGGGACCTCAAGGACCTGCACCACCTAACCAACCGGGGCAGCCCTGTCCACCCACATCAACAGCAGGGTCATCACCGGTTGCTCCAGGACAACCACCCGGTGGTCCACCTGGTGCTGCTCAAAATGCACCTCCAGGCGGTCCCACTAGCGGCCCTCCTGGAGGTCCACCAGGTGGTCCTCAAGGTCCACCCGGCCAATATCCAGGCAGCCCTGCACATCCAGGCCATCCAGGACCTTACGGTCCCCCACCGGGACCACCAGGTCAGCAATATCCTCCTGGAGCGTATCCGCCAGGTCAGGGTCCACCTCCTGGTCAGCAGTACCCCCCCGGGGCTGCGCCGCCTGGCCAGGGACCTCCAGGACCGTACCAGCATTACCCCGGGCAATATCCACCTCCACCTGCTGGCCACGCGTATCCACCCCATGCCCAACCGTACGGACCCCCTGGCAGCCAATACCCGCCACATACACCTCATCCACAAGGCTACCCCCAACCTCCTCAAGGTTATCCTCCGCATCCTGGTCAAGGATACCCTCCTCAAGGATATCAAGGTTATGGTGGGCCGCCTAGAGGCTATCCTCAGCCACAACAAGGCTACCCGCCGCATTATGCGCAAGGGAGAGCACCCTACCCAGGAGGACCATATCCCCCAACAGGAGGTCCTGGACCCCACGAAGGTCAAGGACCTCCGGGAGGTCCTCCACAGGGGCCAGGAGGACCACCTTTTGGTCCTCCAGCGGGTTATCCTCAACATGCGGTTGGAACGCCGCAACCGCCACCGCAGGTGAGTTCATTCATTCTGTTGGGTTGTAAATCGTCGTTCTTATAAGTACTAATTTTAAATTAATAATATTATTATTATTATCTAAAATTTTAAAATAAACTAATTTTAAAACCAGCAGTTCATAGTACTAGCGTATTCATGGTTTTTATAGAATATTTATTCTGTAACGGTTAGTTGAGATGTTGCTTCTTAGGGCCAAACAAGGTGTTCCAATTATTGATCTTTTCTTTTTGCTTTGTATATTTACAGGGAGGTCCTGGTGGGCCTGGAGTACCACAACAAGGTCCTCCACCTGTTGGAGCCCCGTCTACGTCCGGTCCTCCACCTACAGGGCCAACAGGCTAAAAGGGACGAAACTAATGCGTCCTTTAGGTTCAGTGGCAAGCCTCTGTTTAGTATTATCCAACCATCCACCGTAAGTGTCGTTGAATAATTGCGAATCATATAATAAAGTAATATCGATCTACTGTCACTAGAGGATAGAAAAAAATTTTTAATACATTTTTCATATCACTGTTTAACTTGAGTTAGCGTCATTTCAAAGTGTGTAAACGAAAGCTGTTCAGATAAACTCCAGCGTCCAGAAGCAATCATAATATACGAATACTATGATTGCCTACATTCTGTGACTGGCGCTTTATGCGAACTTTTTTTGTTAGACCGCAGCGTATTATCTGAAAATAGCATTCAACTTCTCTAGGAACATGATTCGTTTTAGGCAAAGCAATGAAACAACTGCCTATATGGTCCAAGAGTAAATATATTCATTTTGCATTCTATATTCAATCATTTGGTCCTGACTATATAATATAATAGAAAAAGGAGTTCGCGACCTGAATTTAAACGTTTCAAGGTACAGGTATTGCCCTCGGCAGCTGCCCCTTACTAGAAAGAAATTAAATGTGATCACACCTGATTTCGGATCTACACTCCACGTTTCCATAAGTATAGTACACAAACACGCTGCTACTTTATTATTACGAGGTCACACTGCCTAAACTAAATGCTTCCGAGTTTTACGTCCATGCCACGTTGGGCATTCCATTAGCGCCTCTAGCTTCATTCTTGAATAATTTCCTGGTCGAGGTTAAAGATATAAGGCATTTCAATTGTCTTTGTTACGTTGTAGCAATTATGAAGCTGTCTGAAGGCTACGGTTAGAAAATATCTAGCAACTTGATCTCCTCTAAGAAACGCATGTTTCCATCATTAACATTGTTTTAATTGTTACGTTGTTCTTTTTCAGATGGATTCCTTCGGTTTGTGCGACATATAATTGTGTATTGTAAACATCGTGGTCGGAATGTGCTCAAGTATCTGCATCCTCCGTTGTGTATTATACATATAATGACAATAAAAGTATCAATAATTACTTTTGCTATATATCGGATGTTGTGTTCGTTTCCATTGAGTATTTGAAACTGCGCTGCTATCACCTTTCACTGAACAGGTAAGTAAAACAATGAAAAAAAAAGTAATTAGTGCTGCATTATTTGGCCTTCTACTAGTCACGTACAAAAAGAACTCAACGGTGTTGTTTTATATAGTTGAAAACCGTTACGAGTAGCGTAAACCTGTAAAGGTAGCACTACGATAAGGAAATGGGCGTATTTGTTCGAATAACATTCCCTAACTTTAAGTTAAAAACTTTCTTCAAAAGCTCCTGGTCTCATATCACTTATGCCTTTATTTTTAATAAGCATCGATTTGATTATGTGTACGTAATGGAGAACCTACTACTCGCGGTAAATCTGACCGCCTACATAAATACATAAGTCTACATAAGTACGCCACCGCACATCTACGTTTAGATATAATAAGAACACAAGCTTTTTTGTAGACCGGTCGGCTTGACCAAGTATGGTCAAAAACGGTGTACCAGAAATGACAGTAAATTTAATGCTAACTAGGCCATAGAGACAACTGACAAAGTGCAGCCGATCCGTTAGTTTCCCAGCATTGAGTCAGTATACCATTACAATAAGATTCTTTTTCACGTAATCAAATTATCTCTATCTCTAACTTCTACAACTACAGTTTAATGCACCTACGTAAAGTCAAAAAAAAACCATTTCATACGTTTCAGGGGTACGCCTGACCGTAGTGAATAGAAACTTCAAATTTGCAAAACGGTACCATTTTTTGCTGATTCTGAGTTCTCATTCTTAATGCTGAATATCGGCTTTAAGAATCAGAATCTTTTTCTACGTTACAGTAAACAATAAAGGCTGCACATAATTAAAATAGGCACAAGTGTTGTACGACAACAAATGGCTTAATTCTAATTATTTGTGTAACAACGAGTTTGCTAGTAGGTATCGTAATACGATTTTGATTGATAATAAGGGAATATTTTTGTTTTTTCAGTTTTACTGTCAAGTTTCAGTTAACTATTTTCAGTTTTAGTGTGACGGGATCATCTTACAAAATACTTCTATTATTACCGTCGTGAATTAAATAAACCAACTTCTTAGCACTCTTTACAACTGTACCGCAATTATAGTAGATAGTAAATATTCTCTACACACGTACGTCTCTTCTGTACAGCGTGTGTTGTCATTTATACAGAAGAAACACTTTCTCGCACCAACCATTCTTTGCTTTATTTATTAATGCACATATACGTATATACTATGTGCGTTGAGACACAGGAGCATTAGATCGATTATTCCGTAATCGGCTAGCTGCATGCCACCAGGTAATAACTATTCCATCAAACGGCTTACTTCTAGTACGGAACAAAGTGTCCACGGCTGGATTCGGACCCTGACCGTAACACGTCCCTCAAGTTTAGTACCCAAACACGTTATACACTACGCCATCATGCGGACCACAGAAGCATCTAATTCCTATAGTGTTACTCTGTGAGCAGAATGCAAAAGCGATGCTTAATTATTTGTCTGTCTCTCCCCTGCGAGCATAATAAACACTAATAGATAGACATCAAACGCCAACAAAACGGCACGTGTCGTTGATCTCTTGCAGCGATACGCTTACTTGACTGAGCTTTGCTCAGTTCGGCAAGCTTATCCGGGTCTAGTCAACGTGACAGTGACGGAAAACTCGGTCATCGCAGTTGGACAGCTAGAACAGCCGTTTGACAGACGAGCATTCACACGGGACACTCAAGCAGTGAGCCCAAATCAGTGAGCCAAGCTGCGGCGGTCCAAAGCTGGAGACCTATTGCTTCGACCCTCCAGCGAGCGCTGGTGTTGGATCGCCCGCCTAAAGGCCAACCAGTGCGGGGTCAACATTTTTCCTGGCAGCCTATGGCGGCCAGCCGGAGTAGAATCAGCACTGAGCGAGCTGGTCTGGGCGTTGGCGCATAGCAAAGGAACAGTGTATGTATGCCAAAAGTCTTAAGTTACGTGTACGCGGTGCTGTATCAAGTCATCGTCGTTCTGGTCAGCGCTTTTACATCCCACAACGAAAGAAAAAGAGCGATATAGAACTTAAATATTTTTTTATGTGATTATTGAGGCCCCATGATAGGTGAGATTGTGGTCATCTTGTCCAACAGCAGCGCCCTGTGTGTGGGGACCTTATAATCTAGTGATTTGTATGTATCGTTATCATGTTTATACCCCTGACTGGCCGGCTTGGAGGCTGTTTCTGCTACTGAGGTGGTCATGGAACAGTGAATAAAACAAAGCAGGACATAGCAAAGGATATCAGCTGAGTACGCGACCGAGAGCATAGGTTGACGATAGAGCTATTATTGCTGACTTGAAAGGAGTTGCTATAGAAAGAAATACAAGACAATAATGGCCCAGTAAATGTGAGAGAACTGCCTGCGTCCAGTTCCTACATTGTGCCACCCTACTGAATACAAGAACCCATTAGAGCCAGTGGTAGTCAGGGGACTAGACGGCACATTCTGTGTAATGTTCGCCGGGTTGGAGTGGTACGTTTAGTGCTAGAAAAAGGGCCGCACAAAGTGAGTCACGGCACCCTAGTTGCTGTAGCTGAGGCGTTGGCTGTGTGACGATTTCTGGAATGCTGCTGCTTCTATGGCGAGCAGCAGATAGTATAATTGCATCGCTCAACATTCACATCGTTCAGGTATCGTGCTTTGATGTCTAGTGTAAAGGAGTGTCAGGCAGGCAGGCAGGTGACAACATACGACTTTGGTTTGTATAGATTTCTAGTTGATTTCTTGTAACGTACAAACGGTGCATACAATCCGTTTATCAGGATGATGAGGTATAAAGGACGCGCGCGATAGGCAAAGTAGTATTTATTCAGCAGAGTACTGTCGCTGCCACAGGCGCCAAGCTGCCGGTTGCAAATAACATTTTTGTACATTCCTGCCGAACGCTAAAATAGAAATGTTTTATTCTAACCTTGTTTTTGCCCGTGATGCAACTCCCGTGATGATCCTCGGTCTCCGGGCATTGGAGCTCGTCCCTACCTCTCAAAACTGCTGTGACACCGATGGCAGCGGGGCAACCCGCAAAGTGGCAGTCCAGCGAATTCCTCCGCAGCGGCCATCTTGGACTCGAGGTCGCACTCTGCAGTGTTCTTTGTTCGAGTGAGGTCCATACTACGTCCAATGTCGATTCCCTCATCCCTCAATCGGATTGACTTACATATATACATGAATACAGAAGTACATTCACAGGTACAAACACCTGGGCCGCCATCATATCTTTTTTTTACGTCACGTATAATTTTGCATGATCCCTTAGGCCCATAATAAAAAAGCTATAGCAAACAGAGAAAGAGACAATGAGACGTAATGGATAAAAACAGACAGCCATTACAGAATAAGAATGTTTCTACTTATACATGTCATATGCTTACACAATATCCCAAAAAGCGAATTACGCTCGCCCTTCAATTCACCTTTCTACAAGTACAGGATACATGATCCTGTATTTTTGAACCTATTTCGCTCAGCGGCCACATAACTAGTATATGGACAAAAGACCGTACCCTTTTGCAGAAAACAACGTTCAGACTGCTAGCGGCAACAACAGCAATAGGAACAACGACAGCGACAGCCCCATAGGAATATCACTAAGCGTGCGGGGAGCCGCGCCTTGTCGCGCTTGCCACTGGGCGGCGTCTGGTTTCCTGCGACCGCTGCTGCTGAGCTTAGCTAGCTATCTTGCCTTTCTGCTCCTCCATGTTGCTTTCTGTAATGATGTTTAAGTGTGTCTGTTGTTTGTGGTCAACGACAGCTCTTCAACAGGAACGCTGTGTCGCCTGTTCCTGACAAAAGACTATAGTGGCCAGGCGGAAGAGTAGTTTTGTTCTCTCATGAACGGCATTCACGGCGAGCGTTGCAACGCATTGCAGGCTAGTTGCATCTGATACGTTGAGAGGATGGTGATTAGCGGGTGACATCCATCGTACGTTTATGGAGTAGTGTCGTGGTAAACGTTCACCTACGATGTGCCCTAGGCACCTGGGTTCTATACTGGCGCGGCGGACTCGGGTATGGAGCACATGTACTGCAAGTCGTTACTCGGTGCAAATATTACTCAACTCCTTCTGAATAGGCAAACTTTAGTCGTATGATACAATGATTGTAATAATAATGAGCTGCTGCAATTTCGCATTCATATGCGGAAGCATTATCACCGAAGACAGTGTCCCTTGCATTAAATGGGTGCATAAAAACGTAACACTGATTGACGAGTGCCGTTTGATACGATGGGGTATGTATGATGCCATATACACTACGAACAAGGAACAAGATTTTTCGACGATAGCTATACAGATCGTTCCAATTTCCAATACAAGTAATAAAGCACCTCCTTCTAATAATCTGAACTAGTCAGTTGCAAACTGCCGTTTGTGTGGTTCTTGTGATCCGTGTTAATCGTGAATACTTCTCTGCGAGCCTGCTCGTCTCCGATGGAAACGCTACTCTGAGCTGCCTCTTTGCCTCCGCGTCGTCTAAAAGCCATTAGCAGCGATGGCAATTCCAATATCGTACTTGCAGCAAACCTCATTCGTTCTTCCGGTCTAGCTTCAACCCCGCTACCCACGGACTAGTTTTCGTAATTGAACGAATTTTCTATGCCCTATGTTTTTCATGCCCTACAAACTTTCATTGTTTGAGCTGCCCCAGTGCGTATATGGGTACAGTAGCCGTTTGAATTGACGCCAGTGCTCTCGCACGCGTTGCGCTTAAATTTCTGGAGTTCACCCCTCAAATTGAATCATTCTACTAGCTTAACGGCTAGTTCGGCTGTGTTTGACATGCAGATCGTGAGCTATATGGGCTTACTTGAAGCTATAGATTGAAATACAATTCCATGTTCTAGTACTGGTAAAGCAGTTTGATAGCATCAGTAGTCATTAAATGACGCTATAACAAAATACATGAGATAGTAATAGACTGCA